ACGGGGAGACGCTCGAAAGCCGAATATTATTATTATAATTAAACATCATGTACACCCGAAGACGAAATTCGAAATTATAAATGCAAGTGCATGTAGGAAGTCCTACCAAGAATAATATATCTATACAGTATAAATAATAGGTACGCGTTCGACAACGATGTCCATTGTATTGTTTTTTTTTTTGACCTGTCGTACATACGTGTCACGTAGCTAACGTATATAATATGCATTTCGTGTGGGCAATCGCCGATCACAAACGATCGACGATCGAGTAATATACTTTATAATATTATTATATCATTATATTGTCATTTCGTACACAATCTGGTGCGTACCAATTATTTCCAGATGTTTACGTTTTACGAGAGTATACTATGTATAGTGAATACTGCATATAGTATAGACCATGTTATAAAGTACCCATACTGGAGCAGGTCATTACGTCGCGGCGGGTCCCGGACGTATTTTATTTTATATAATGACGATTCATCCAGGCCGACACGCTGCGCCGGACAAGAGATTATTATAGTTTTATGCCTTTATGGTATACGTTTTGGATTATATATTTTGTCATTTGTACGGATTATCGGATTTCACGTATCGTCGTCGTAAATGCAGTTGGCGCCAGTTTAGAGCGTCGTTTTTGTCGACTCGTGCAGCTCTTTTTTTCAAACATTTAGTGTATGGACAGTGAACATTATTGGCTTCGTATAATCTTGTAGTATAGTTAACATACTATTGTGAGTGTCGTAGAATTATATAATGTAAATAAAAAGAAACAACATAATACGAACATGTTGCGGTTTGAAGTTTGAACTCGTGCTTTCCAAGGACTGATTTTACGTATGAGTAAACAATTATTAATTAATTGTTTTAATTGTTTGTTTGTTTACGTATTTCAACTGATACATATGATACCTATCGTGGATAGATTTTCGATTATGCAATGCGAAGAGGCCAAAGTACCTACATGCTTATACTAAAATGTTTCGCAATATTAAGCTAAAAAGTCATACAAGGATTTAGGATATGTAGCCTGGCCCATAGTATGTGCCTACTTAAAATCCTGGGTAACGACTTTTGTTAATATTTTGTATTACGCCATGCAGGTACATACAACTATTTAACAACGTAGCACGTATTGGACGTCAGGTCAAGTATAAGGTAATATTTTATTATATTACCTTATAAAAATCAACCCTTTTTTTATAACACACACATATATATTTAATTTACACTTTGAATATGGAATAAAGTTTGTTATAAATTTAAAGAGAGAATAAGTGAATTATTTCGCCTGAAGGCTGAGACTAGTTTCTAAGTACTTGGCTTATAAAAAAGGCTTATAAAATCAGTGATGTAACCACGTGGGCTAACGACTTACAGAAATCTTACAATTGAAATGCTAGACTATGTCTGATTGAGTCGATTCTTTGAGCTTGGTTACTCGTATTTATATACAGCCGGCTAGTGGAGTGATCATAGATTTATGCTTTTCTGGATTATGAACAGGTCGTTCGTATGAAAAAAGTAAAGTTTTCGACTAAAACAATATTTATCTAATATAATATGTGATTCACTATATTATACCTATCTTAATCTTACACTAGCTTACATAATATATGTTTATTTGAATAACAGTCTTAAATATTTATTAATTATTATTTACTACAACAACAACATATATCGATACATAACGATCGATCAACACCTGATGAAAATATCTTAAGAATATTAAACTGGGCAATAAGTTTCTCCGAAAGTAAGTTCCTCCTCGTGACTTATAATTGTATGAACCGTTTAGTTTCATCCAGCCTACGTGGTAAATCTAATAGTATTATAATTTATATAAACTATTAATAGGGCTCGTGGAAAGCAGTGCAGTGTGTTACATTATAGATACATTTTTCTCGAGTTTCTTGGTTACTTGTCTAGTGTACAGTTTTCGGCTGATGGTGACAGAAATATGTCGATGAGAACAGAGCGTCATCGCGTCATCGCCACTATCTTGGTACTGGTTGGTTCCTACATTTACAAGTCGAAGAAAATACTATGCTCATCGGCACGCATCGTCACATACAACATAATAATAAAGTGATGTACATTTTACAAACAGTCGTTGATATATTAATATGTCATTATGTTTGAAGCCGAACAGAATGAGAGAAAGAGAGAGAAAAGTTATTATACAAAACAAATGTCGCCTTCCAAATGTAAAATTAAATTAAAAGAGAAAAAAAGGCACAATTATATTATATTATACAGGCTGGAAACAATGGCACGACGCAGACGTAAAACAACTACAGTAATAATAGATGCCATCTGCAGTGGTATATAGTAGGCAGGTATCTATATATAGGCAGTACGTGTGTGTATATTTTATTCTTCGTATATACCGTCGGCACAACAGCGGTGCGGTCACGGGCACATAGATACACGATGATATATGATCTTTGGCGTCGTAAATGTCAATTACTATAATATTATTATACTACGTGTGTATTATTATATGTATGTAATATAATATATATATCAAGTTGTAATTGCGGAAAAATTTAAAAGACACGGATGATCCGCCGCGCGGCTGTTGGCGTGGACCCTGGATCAGGTCGAAACTGAATTATCGTCGGTTTTCCGACACACTTTGGCCGTTTAAAATTTTTTGAAGACCGGTTATTTTACACCATCGAACATCGATTTATTGTGTGACTTATGTGTTTTCGAAACCAGTTTTCCGTAATTATTGCAAGACCATCAAATTTATCGTATCAATAAAATCGTTATTTATTTCTTATACGTTTGGTAGGTAATACCATTGATTTTATAATGTTGTAAATTCGAAAAAGAAAACAGCGTTGGTCGTCCAACACAAATAAAAACACGTCTCAACGTTTATAGAGTGAGTGCTTAATTATTGAACATCTGGTTGGGCGTTATATTATTGTTCCTGCAGAATATAAACTTAATTTCTCATTGTCTTAATGTTATTTGTTCCTCTCGGCGTTATAATAATATAGGTAGGTACTAAATATAACAATACTTAGTGGTGTATTATTATTATTATGAAATGTTTGAATAATTCACACGCACGCTGTACAGGTTCAGTTCGATTTAAAAACACGTTGATTGTTTTCGATGTACCTATAATATTATATCAGTCAAGATTTAAATAAATATCGTTTTTACAACTTCCGATTACATTCAATAATATATCAACAAATCATCATTGATTCAATGATGTGTAATGAATATAATTATAAAAATATTATGATGACTCGTGCTTGTTAATCGGACTGATCATGGATGGTCCCAATGATTCGTCTCTGTGATAGACGATGATCTGTATAATATTGCAGTCTTTATAGACTTATACCAATAACTGCTGACAAGAATCGTGAAACGAATTTATTTGTATTGTAAACGGAAATTATAGTTCACATATTATTATTATATTAATATAGACGTCATACTGGGTGAAATTCGAAGTGTGAAACATTGAAAACTATCTATATTAGATCGTGTATTATACTGAACTACAAGTAGTCGTATTCATAGGTCTATAAAATATAAATCAGAAGCCTCAGCGAAAACGATCATCACGACATTTCGTGTCGTCATAATTATTAACACTCAGCCGACTGTTTAAATATTTCGTATAAATTTAACTATAGGTATATTTTCCGTTCACTTTTAAACCGTTTAAATGCAGACTCGTATATTGTATACAAGGGAACTGTGTAGGTTAAAAAACCTACATAAAATTCTATAGGTGTTTGTCTTGCAAGTATTCCGTTTTTATAGTCTTTACGGAAACGCCATTATAGAATTTATTATTTTATTGCGCTATTTAAACGTAGATATTATATGTTATAATTTCTAAAATATATTTCCATATTTCCGTAGTTCGTTTGATGGGACTTATTTTAGTACATATTTAAAACTCGCATTCAAACAAAGTGACGAATATGATTTAATATACGAATATTCAAGTACTTTAAATTAAATTTAAAAAAACGTGTTAACTATAAAATATTGATTTGAAGTTGTTTGTATTTTCGTGTTACGTAACTCTTATTTGACTATCTATTAATGTGTTCAAAAAGTGAAATATAATTTTTTGATCAGCGTTATTTTTACTTCGTATGTATTATTCGGTGTCGTTTAAACAAAATATAGTTTTTAACTTCGTATGTTATTATCATCACAATAACAACGTCGCAAAATAATTTTTCTCCTGTAAGTATTAGCATTATAATGTCCGTGGTCCGAACAGGTGAGGCTTGATACCCACGCCTGTTATTAGGTCCAATTTCGAATTCATTAATAAACAACGCGATGAAAAAAAAATCCTGCCTACGTAGCAATTACCGTATGGCCGACGAGGCTACGGTGGCGACGCTTTTATATCGTCCCTGTCGTACGCATCTGGATCATAACGACGGAGAATTATGAGCCGTCGAAAGGTGGAGAATCTATTGCTAAATTGTAGAAGGAAGAGGGGAGAAGGAATAAATTTATACGAAAAATTATAACGCGCCAGTTGGATTTTTTTTTCATGTAATAATGATAAATTAAATTGTTTATCGATAATACACCTATATGCATATAATATTGTAAACCAGTTTCCTTCTTTTTTTTCTTACTGAAATGCGCCCACGCGGCGCCTGGTGCGTCGGTCGTAATTCGCACTGGCGCCTCTAGGAATTTCCCCAATTTCGAGTACGTCGTGTCATCAAGAGTCGAAATTTTCGATTGGTCCTCCTTTTTGCCACGAACCCAATCCCGGGGCACCGGGTTCGGAGTCGCCACCCCAAAAAACGAGGTGTTTTGCTGAAGTTTGGCGAACATGTGTTCGGGGCTCGGGTCGCGTCCTTATACGCACTACAGCCGTGCCCATACGGTGTCTCGTCGTTTAATCGTTAGAAAAAAAACATCAACAGCAAAGAGGTCAAGACTTTATTTTAATTTTTTAACATTATTTTTTTTTTTTTTACCAACAGAGACAACATATACCGTCTGGACCTGGACGATTTGAAAAAGATCGAGGCCGCACGATGGCCAGCCGCTGAAGAAAAGGTGCAGCTATGTCTGGTGAAAGGCCAAAGTGTCGACGACTGTCACAATTACGTCAAAGTACTACTGTCCACTGGAAAACGGCTGTTCGCATGCGGCACCGGAGCTTTTTCACCACAGTGCACGTGGAGAGAGGTGAGATATTAATAAAACATTTTGGTATTCCGAGCTTTAGGCTGGCTGCTTATAGCGTACATCCAAAGTATAATTATCGCGAAGCATCTCGCCAATCCAAATAATAGTTTCAAATTACGACTCATAGACTATTGTGTTGTATGTTGTGTATATGGTCGCTATCGATTTATAATGTACGTCCTACTTTGTTGATGATTGCATTGATTTTTTAACAAACGCATACATAAACGCGTATGTACTTATACATACATTCCAATAAAATTTGAAGAGAATAAAACATACTTATTAAATGCAGTAATTTATAGTTTATACTTTTCATCAGTCGGTCGTTATTAAAATTAACAACGCTTATTTATGTAATATTAAAACCGCCCTTGGCCACCCGTCCAGACTGGATCTATGATGACTAGCTAGCTTACAATAATATTATACTAGCTATTATTATAAATTCCCATCCTAGAGCTCATTTGGCCAATTATAATACATCAATGTCAGCGAGCACGGCGAAAGTGTGTCGTCGTTCTCGGGCGGGGAATGCGACTGAGGAGAAGTCTCTTTAATCTTTATACGCGGACTAATTGTGCAACATTTCTGTGTTTCGATAGATGGAAAATGCCAACAGCGTGACCGACACAGTGCGTGGGGTAGGCAAGTGTCCGTACAGTCCGCTGTCCAATATTACAGCCATGATCACGCTCAACGGCCAGTACTTTGCCGGTAGTCCGATGGACTTTTCGGGCGCAGACTCGGCCATTGTCCGGGACCTGGGAGCTTCGTACCTGCGGACGAAGAACTATGATGCCAAGTGGCTGAACGAACCACAGTTTGTCGGATCGTTTGAGACCGACGCCTATGTCTACTTTTTGTTCAGAGAAAGTGCAGTGGAGTACATAAACTGTGGAAAGGTTTGTATTTGGTTGTCGTTTATAAATGGAAAATAAACTATTTTTTAGGAAGTATATATTATTGTATACCTCAATGTATTTTATTACTATGAATATAAGTTTTTTACCTCATTTTGATAATAAATTACGAAGTAATAAATAATATTTAATATTTGAGTAGTATCTTATCATACACACAATATTGACAAACAAAATATGTATTATGTTATAGAAGGTGTACTCGAGAATTGCTAGGATGTGCAAAAACGATGTTGGTGGACAAACTATGCTACGAGACAATTGGACCACGTTCATTAAGGCCCGTTTAAACTGTTCTTTACCGGGTGACTATCCGTTTTACTTTGACGAGATTCAAGGTATGACTTATCTACCGGATGAAGGATTGGTGTATGCTACATTTACTACACCAAGGTATGTTATTAAACCAATATATTATTGTGAATTTCGTTACTAAGTTTTCTGGTTTCTGCGGACATATTGTCTAGCTTTAAATATCTCTTTTTGCCTGTCGTTTCTTTCAATCTTATCGTTGTGACCATCAGCTTAGTAAAGAATACTTTTAAAAAATATTTTAAACACAGGTACTCAAGTACGAATTAATATCAATTTGTAGTTAAAATATTTGTTACCTAAAGTATTCATATGCCATGTACGATGTACAATAGCATTCGAATACTTACATGACTGCTGATGATTCCCATACAAATCTTTTTTGCCCCGTCCTTTAGACTTTTAGAGCGAACCTTACGTGACTGGTAGCTATAGCCTTTTATTTTAAAATGAATTTTTTCATCATAAATAGTTTCTACCTTTTCGACTAGGTATCATTATTATTATTATTTTCTATTACTGCATATATGAATTGAGACACTAGAGCACGTATACCTGCAGTCTAAGTTAAAGTGTGATATTATTTTTTACAGCAATGGTATAGCTGGATCGGCAGTATGTAGTTTTAACCTTACCGCTATTAACGCAGCATTTAATGGACCGTTCAAACACCAAGCCAGCGTCGGTTCGGAATGGGTACGATATAACCCACCACATCAACTCAACCACGGACATTGCCAACGACAGGATCCAAATCAGATACTTGACTCGTCGAGGTATTTAATTTATTATCATTGTTATTATTAGTATAGTATATATAAGTACCTATTGTACTAAAGTTTCTGAGTTTATACAATACCCATATTATAATTCTATAGTTTAAATACGTAGTAATATAGTAATATATAACTCCGATGGTGGTCGGTCGTTGTTTACCAATCATTTTTTTTTTTTTTTATGTAAATCTGCTAATTCATATGAAATTATTGAAATTATTCCTTTATTCTTTCAATTTTTAGATTCATTTTCTTTGAACGTAATTCTATTGAAGAACAATGCTGCAGACTATTTACAAAATTCTTATTCATATCTAAACCTAACGGCTAACATACATGATATAACGATTTAAAAACCTTAAAAACCATACATAATAAATTATGTGAGTTATTTATGATCGAGTTAGGTGTCATACAAGGGCTATAATTGCATTTCATTCATCCAAAAGAGTTTTTTTTTATAATTTTAGATGCACCTATATTATACTAAGTTGAACGTTATTACTAGGTATTATTTTTTCGTAATAGACATAACTGAGAAATAATAGTGGTTTGACTGCGTTAAATATTATAAGTATAATTCACTTAAACTACACATCAATTTTTGATTTACGTTCATTTTCCTGTGTAATATAATATGTTTCGGACAGGTGGTTGTCTGATACAATAATAATATGTCAGTCATTATTAGTGGGTAAACCGTATGCGTTGTATACTCAAGTGCTATGCTTTGTACATTAATAGATACCAACTGATGGACAACGCAGTACAGCCGACCACGATGGATCCACTATATTACAAGCCCTTGGAGATTCTAACACACATTGCTGTCGACGTCGTACCAACTAAACCACACGGATCTTTGAAAGTCTTGTACGTGGCTACGACCCAAGGGACAGTGAAAAAGATTACTATTCTACCGAAGTCTTCGGTCACATGCACACTGGAGGAATGGAACATATTCCCCGAGGACTCCGGTTCCCAGATCATGGCGTTGCATTATCTGAAAGTCACTGTACGTAATACCTAACGTTTTTATGCAGCCGATGACGGAATTATGTGCTCTTTCGTTATCACGTGTGTATGGTTTCGCAGGACTCGATATACGTGGGCACTCGTGATCGGGTGTTGAAAATACCGGCCCAGCACTGCGGTCGTCACCGGAGCAAGGAAGCGTGCATGAACGCGATGGACCCCTATTGCGGATGGAACGAGCACGTCGACAAGTGCCAACCACCGACAAACGGTAACATCATGGAACACAATTGGCGACAAGACGTTACCAAGTGTCCGGACCGGTCGAGGCCGATCGACGGTGGTTGGTCCAGCTGGTCGACATGGGCTGCGTGTACGCAAAACGTTAACGGCAAAGAGTCCGCCGACCAATGCTTGTGCTCGAGCAGAACGTGCACGAACCCCGAACCCAAGTACCACGGGGCCGATTGCCAAGGTCCCACCATACAGGTGTGACATGCAACCAGTTTGTATTACATTACCTAGGTATACTAATTAAACCAACTGTGGGAATGGCAATGGACTATTTTTTTATTTTTTTTTTTACCGAGGTGCTTTACCCGCGACCGCAGCAGATGTCGTAAATAATTTTTATCGCTTTACTTCTATATATCTTGTTCATCACGCACATTTTCCGTTTTCCGCAAATAATACGCATTTGTGAATCACAATTGTGTGTTTTGGTTTTTTTTTTTACTCAAGCAATATTCCACTAAATTGGTTTTATATGCTAATTTTTTAGTACAACGTGCAGTTATCATAAAGATACTATATAGTCCTTTGTATTCCTCCTTAAACTCGAGTAAAAAATGTTACACACCCATGTAATAAGAAAAAACTTATATCGAACGTTTATTATTAGAGTAGTTATGCCTGTATGTATGTGTGGTACGTGAATACCTACATTTGAGATCATATAGATAAATTAGTTGTACTACCGGGAAATTATAATATCCTACGCTCACATTTATTATGTATAATATATATTATAATATGTAGGTACATATTTATACGCGTATAAACATGATTACACGTTAACTAACAACGTCATTGACGCACATAAATTAACTTTCATTTTTTTCCCTTAGGTGACTAATTGCACCGTACACGGACAATGGTCGGCTTGGTCGGACTGGTCTGCGTGTACGCAAAGTTGCGGTTCCGCCGTGAAAGTCAGAAAGAGGACTTGTGGAAATCCGGCGCCGGCATTTGGCGGTCGGGTGTGTGTAGGACGGGACACCGATGAAATGTTTTGCCATTCGAACCCACCTTGCCCAGGTAAGGGTAACCCGCAGTGCACCACTCGGCGGGCGTTTGGTGCCGTCGTACGATATTACCTATCGTTATTAACTTTTATCTTTTTCCTTCTCCGTCCATCACAGTTTCACCACCAGTCGTTAAAGAACCGGGATGGAGCACCTGGGGCTCGTGGAGCAAATGCTCGGCCAAGTGCGGTGGAGGCATTCGACAAAGGTCGCGTTACTGTAACAACCCACCGCCACAGGAAGGGCAGGATTGCATCGGGTGTTCCGAGGAGTACGAACTGTGTAACCAGAAACCGTGCACGGATAGCATAAAAAAGATTTCGGCGTGGTCGCCGTGGGTGTCGGCTGGCAATGGTACTCATAAAAGATACAGATTCTCGTGCAGAACGCAGCCGGACATTTCGGCTTTAAGCATTATGCAGGACAAAGAAGAAAATAGATTGTGCCAAGATGGGTCGTGTCACAGACTCGGTGAGTTGTCTATTACTACCTATAATATGGACGATGTGCCTATCCATTAATTTGATATATGAGGTGTATTCCACGTTTTAAAATGTTTAAACTTCAATTACAAACTATGGTCTTTTTTATAATAATACCAATACGTTAATTTGTGTTTTTTTTTTTTGTTATTAGATCAACCGTCGGATTTAGAAGACTCGTGGTCAGAATGGTCACCCTGGTCACCGTGTTCTGCTGATTGTGGTGGTGGTGTACAAGTGAGGACTCGAACCTGTGAAGGCCCATTGGATAATTGTGAGGGGCAAACCACATTTACCAGGGCTTGTAATACACAACCATGCAAAGGTAATTAAATATATTCTGTAGTATTTATGCTATACACCTATATCTACTTGTATTACTATACTTCTGACTTTGCAGTATTATTTTTAAAATTTAGACCAGTTCCTAGTGGATAATAATAATATAATATCATTATTTTTCATTGTAATTATGCAAGTTGATATTGTCTTAGGAGAATGGAGTTGTTGGACAGACTTCAGTGAATGTTCTGTGACCTGTGGTGAAGGCGTCAGAACTCGCAAGCGCAATTGTCTGCTGAAGGGTATGTCCACTGATGGATGCGATGGCCCTTACGTAAGCCAAGAACCGTGTTACGCGCCTTGTCATGACATAGATATGGGCTGGGAAGACTGGTCCGAGTGGTCAGTTTGCGATAAGGACAACCAGAAACATCGCACACGAAAATGTATTTCTGACCGTTGTTTGGGACCTGACATCGAATCTATTCCTTGTTTTGAGACAAACGAGATCGGTAAGCATAAAATGAATATGTACCTGTGTAACACTAAGATGTCACTTGTGAGATGTGATAAGGAAGTTGTTAAAATATAAATTGAACAAAAAAAACAAAGGATTAAATTACAGTTGCAATAAAAAATCTTAGACAATAATAAAAAAGCTCTACTAAAAACCAAATAAACGAACTACCTGAACACTTAATGAAAAAAACCACTCTTTTTGAGATTTTTTTAGTTTATTAAATATTTCGCTGTTATTATCTGTAGGTTTTTTTATACCTAGTATAGATACTATATAATAATATCTACTGAGTAAATACAAAACAGACCCTTTAAATTTAATTACTTAATAGACGACTCGAACTGTTTTCTTATCAATACAACTTATTTATATGGACTTATAAAATAGACAATGATTAGAAAAAAAAATGGAAAACAATTTGACAAAAATAAATAATTTAATTTTTAAATTTTCAAATTGTCTAGCATATTATTTCATTAACTACCTATTAAGAAAACTATTGAAATAAAAAACGGTATTTAATAGTTTAATTACATAAAAAAATAAGACTTTTCGCGATAAAATAAAAAAAAGATTTTTGCTCGAATTCGTTCGAATAATATTCATTTCCTCGCACACTCGCCACATGCGAAAACTGCACTTTCGCCCCCCACTTCTCACATTCAATTTTGCACCCATAGGCCATAATATCCACCCTTAACTCGGTGTATGCACATCGCACGTGGCCACCCTTTCAACAACCCGACCAAACAAATAGAAATTAATATTGCGGGGCGATCGTACATAGTTGTTTACACGTTTTGCTTTGTTCCGGTGTAGTGAGTTCGAGTGGCTCCACTCTGCTGGTGTGCCTGCTGTCCTTTTTGGCGGGCGCCCTGGTGGCCGGCGCCGCGTTCTGCGCGTGGCAGAGGCGCAGGAAGCCGAAGTTGCCCAGCAGTCCGCACTACATCACCACCAAGCAGAACCCGTACGTGACGGTGCCGATGAAAGAGTACCGCGCGCCGGCCAAGCGGACGCCGTCGTTCACCAAGCCGACCACAGTCGGCGCGCAACACCACGGCAACGGTACCGCGGCCACCGGTACGCTGCCCAGGCTGTTCAACAAGCCAGCCGACTACGAGACGGCCACCATCAAGCGGAACAGCCACAGCCTGGTCAACGGGCACGCGATGCGCAACCGCCCCGATTTGGAACAGGAAAAGTTTTTCTAACCAGCTGCACCGTTGAATTATCATAATATTATTAGACGCGAACATCGCCAATCGCCATAATTACGATTATTATTGTATCGATCATCAACTTCCCTATCGCGGGCTGACTGTTTAAACCGCAACGCCACAGAATTCCGTGACGCGTTCATTGCATTTATGCGCGGAAGAATTCAGTGTTAGTTCAACCCTCTCCGGAAATCGTCCGTGTTTCCGGATTTATTATTTTTTTTTTTAATGTCATCCGATTGTTCGGATTTTCGAATGTCCTGATAATAATATTAAACCAGTGCTGATATCGGCTACTGGTGCTCGTTATTGCTAGTCATTACAATTTTTTACTTTCGACGACTTCCTTGCGGACGTAACTAATTTAACACGTGATATTGGTAACCGATACAATTATTGACTTAATATTATATTTCTAAAATAATTGATAAAAATCTATTTCTATATTATTATTTCGTATTGACTAACGATCAATGTGCATCACACTATCTTCAGTCTGCGTTTGATTTCAATAATATAATATATTAATATATTATAATGATCATAATTTTTGTTATTAAATCAAAAAATTTTCTAACTATTGTATACAAATTATACAAACGGTTCACTCGTTTTTTTTTTATATACAACCGAAGACTGCGTAAAACCGCGACGCATAGCCTGTTGTCGTATGTTACATCCATTATTGCCTTACTCTGTTAATTATAAATTATATTGGACTTGAAAAGAAAAAAATATCACATGAAATATATTATTCAGTATTGTATATTTATATATTTTTTTAATAATTTGAAGTGTAAGTTTAAGTTGTTACGTAAGTGCGCAGAATGGTGGATTAGAATCGTTTTTTAACCATTCATATTATTATATTATGTCGTATGAAATCTATTTTATATTATTGTACAGTGTAAACCTACCTACTTAAAAATAATGTGTGTCTACTTCAAGACGTGTCGAATCAGTTGTGTGATCAGATTTTTGTAATGGGGGGAGGTTTATTCATTTTCGATTATTCTCAGACCACGTTATATAGCGGTAAATATACTCTCATTGCCCTATCATATATTTTATATGACAAAAATAAGTCAAAGGGAGAAGATATGAACCCTCCTTGAGCACCCACCTGTGCCGAATAATAGTTTTTTTTTAATTTCATAGAGGTAGGTACATTATAATTTATAAATTAACGATTTTCAAAACACTGATGAATTATACTATGTTTTTGTTGCTAACAATATTAAAAAAAAACACCATTAATATCTAAGATAAAATCGGTAATAAAAATAATTTATAAAGCACTGTAAATAAAATGGATAAATAGGTTATTATTTTGTACTTTTATACTGAACAAGTACGCTTTGTGCCAATTATATTCATGATTAATCTATTATTTTGATTAACCATGAAATATTAATGACTGAATAATTTTTTTTTTATTATTAATGTTGTAACTCATAAGTGTAAAAACTATGTGAACAAAACGTGTTAAACACATAATATATTATCATAATATACTTATAATATATATATATATTATATAAATATAAGTATTATATAACTCATGTTGAGTACCCAAAATTTATAATATTGTACATAATTCACATTGTTTATTGTATGTTGTTGTCCAAATTTTATTTATGAAGAATACATAATAAATAAATATGTACTATTTTTAACTGTTAAATTATATTTTTTTGTGAATATAATATATTTTTTCATGTAAATATGACTATTGTTTAAGTAAAAATAGAATAACAATTATTATTTTTATACTATTTTTTTTGTTTTTTCATTTATACCAATTATTATTTCATTATTTCAAGAAAACATTGTATCTTTCACTGTAGACAACTTTTTAATACGCCTAAGCATTCTCCAAACTAAAACTATACAAAAAATAATATCACGTTGGGGTATTAGCCTTGTTTTTGGCAATGAGGGGAATTTGTGTGAGTTAATGCACTATCTGCAGCCAATATGTCAGAAATTAGATATTATATAAATTTTAATATTTATATAATATTAAATCTATTTGTACACAAAATAGTTATGTAGTATGGTAGTAGGTGCTTAGTTACACATATCAACTATAGTTCATTATATAAATCGATATAGCGTAATATTATGCCAGGATTCCAAAAACTTAAAAATAATTTGATGGATTTTTATCACTTCACATAAAAATGTGTATATTATAGTTGTTCGCAATTTAGTTCAGTCGCCTTTATTTTTATCGTTTGTTTTTGTTTTGTTATATTGTTTTTTGTTATACAGGTCGATAATTATTTTTAATTAGCTATCCAACACTGGCTACTATTTCTTTGTAATGATATATTTTCAGTATTTCTGTTGACATTTAATCTTCAGATGAACACTCAGCGGTCAATCGCGATTAGTTTTGTGTATCGTTTGAAATTTTTATTGCACGTTTTAGATAATATCTATTTGAATAATACGACGTTATCTGTTCAGTTACGGACGCTGCTACGTCTATGACCATATTCCTATTTTTGAATAGTAAAATGATTTAATAATAGTATCAACAGAAAACACCAAGTATATAAGATATAATTCAATAACGTACATGATATTTACTTATTTTATATAAAACGGGCTTGCTCTCAAATAAATATGATACATATAATATATAATATAATATAGTAAAAAGTATTATACAATATAACAATATTTAAATAACAAGTTTAATCTAAAGGAATTTATATATTAAGGAACGAGGTGTCCTTATTAATCGATTAATGAACCAATTGGATGCAATATATTGGTTGGGAAGAAAAGATTATGAAAAGCAGTTTTATGGCAAGCTTAAGACGTGAAAGCACTTCAAAATGAACAAGTGAAATAAGAGAGGGAGAATCGGTAGCAGAAAGATGAGTTTTGTGGAGAAGAAAATTTTATGAGAGTATATCGATGGTCGGATAAAGTAGATATGGTTTGGGTTTAGTTACGACCACGATTAGAGATATCTTTAATCGCGGTTAAGAAATAGTCGTTAAGTGGGCCGGAAACATGAGCATATTCAAAAAAAGTAATCTAACTCGAACAACGTTTAAAAAAAAATGAAACGACACTATGGTCTATGACTAATACGACAGCATTTACCCTATAATGGGCAATAGTTGGATGGCTAAAGGAATATTGCTGTAGCAGAGTTGTGAGCTTTTCGAATCATCAAAGTTTACATTGGTATTTACTGTTTCGTGCAGGGGCGGCTCCAGGCGAAGCCCTAGAGGCCGAGGCCCATCCAAAACCCCTATTTCTAAAAATTGTATACTGTTCAAAACAAATTTCAAAAAAACCTAGTATGCAATTATCGAAAGTTTTCTGAAAACTATGACTTAGGCCCAACCCCCAACCATGTCTAAATGGACTCGCCCCTGGTTTTGTGCATTTTAACTTCCACGCGAATTATTGACGATAGCGTTGATAACGCGATGCAGTCAACTATTCCGAGAAAATAACAAGATATCGATGACAGCGCAGTGAAACCATATTCAACTAATAATGCTGCGGCCAACCATGCGGCGCTGTTGCCGACTAAACGATGTTGTGGCCAACTATAAATGCATAAATTCCAGAATTATACCGTCCAGGTTTTTACTTTCCGGGCTTAAACGCAGACCCGTAGCCTCCTGCAAAAGTCACTCTTCGAATGAACAATTGAAATGTATTTATTCAAATACAACTTGTACCTATACGACTCTTTTAACGAGTTATATTGATGCAATTATTATTATATTATCAGCGGCGGGAGGTGGCAATAACAGAAACAATGATGTAAACATTTTGATTTTATTTGTATACGTAGTATAATATTATGTTTGTAAATTATAATGAAAAAAAAACAAATTAATTATAATGTGACATTTTTGACCTAACTAAGCTAACATGATGTCATAAAGGAAATTGTTTATATTTAAAGGACGAATTATCGAACTCTATCAACTTCCAAAAATTTGGTTTGTGTTGAAATTATACGCCTATGAAATTTGGTTTTAGAGTGGAGCGATGAATAGGTCGCAGCGGTTTTTCATGTTTCTTGCTATATTCATCGCTCCATTCAAAAACCAAATTTCGAAAGCGTATATAATTTCAACACAAACCAACTATATGGGGGTTTGGATAGTTCGATAACTCATTGTTAATTAATACAAACAATATTCTGATATTCATAATGAAATCATGTTAACTTATAGTTAGGTCAGAAATTTATAATAATTAAGTCTATAATAATTAAGTCTTCCTGCCATCACACGTTGGTCTTAACGCCCACGACTGCTGAAAAAAAAACATTTATATTTTTAAAAAAAAGTAGGAACTGGACCACAAATTAGTACAATTCTGAACCGTCTACAACACCATTTTTCCCACGCTTACCTAAATATCAACTATTATTTTCTCACAGTTTTTAGACTTGTTTACCCACAAACGCACATAGTTACCATTTATTTATTTCCAATAATAATAATAACAGTTGACAATACAAGGTGTATTCAACCTATAGGTTAATTTACTTAAAAACGTTTGTATAAAACATTAAGTGATAATAATTAGAATGCAATACTTTCGATGCATTACATTTATTTTGGCCTGATTTAATGAAAATGTCTGATTTCGCATTCAACTTGAATTATTCCAACCACATTATTACCAAATTATTAGTAGGTATATTATTAACCCATAGTCGACAAAAATATGTATACAAATTATTGCTAAATAATAATATAAAATACTTACATTTTACATGTTACATATGGCTCGAATCTTGGACTCTTGGTACTTTGGTTTTTTTGGCTACGACGCTTTAGCATTTGGCCTATACGGGGTTGACCGGCCCTCACTTGCATGTATTTTGCTCGAAGAACAGTAGTACAGTTCTTACACTTCGGTGCCTTAGGTACATCGGCCTATTTACGATGGAAAAACAATCAGTTTCAAAAAATGTTAAATAACCGTGACACACATACAATATTTCATATTGGTACAGGTAACTACATAATAATAATAATATATTGTATCTACTGAATAGGTACATTTAGATATTTCATTTTAAAAAATCATTTTCATATTATGATCACAATTCTTAACACACGAAATACTTCTAATACTATAATGATGGTTCGTTTATTTTTAAATACACAATTATAAATATATTATTCAAGTACAGCGAGTAACATACAAACCAAAATATAAGAATGCAATATATTTGTGTTTTAGTCAGAGCCTCATAGGCATTATTCGTGGAGTAAGTGGCTGATAAAAATGTGTATACTCTCCGAAAATATGGATTCTCTTGAATAAATTATCATTACCATTTCCTCAAAAACCACATTATTATTAGTACTAATTTTTTTTTAATAATATGTTTTCAACATTATTTTTATGTTGTATACAACCCCTATTTTTACAAAGTCGTGATTATTGAAAAAGATATATATTATATTATTTATTTTACACTAAAGAAAGTGGAACATATTTTTTTCCTATCAGCTTTGGCAAGGTTGTTTTTTAATTTTTTCTATTAATCTAATTAAATTTAATAGCCAGATTTACGTAAGAACAGCCATGTATTTATATCATAACTCCCTTATATGGGTCATCACTACATAACAAGCCTAAATTGTGTGTTACATACATATTTTAAACTCGAAAAGCGTAATTGTCAACTTCTTTGTAATACAATAATATATTTATATATATTATGCAATAATAATAATTCAGTCCATTCGATTTGACAAAGGATCGCCTATAGTAAAAATCTTACATACGTACGTCATCAGCAACCGATATTGATCCAAAGGGCTCAAGATTATATTTACTAAATATACTTCTACAATAGTAAAGTAAATAATAAAAAAATAATTTTTTTACTTGAACTTTTAAATCAGAAGTTATTTGATCATCGGTTTTCATCTTTTTAGGCCGTGGTTCATAGTCGGAGAATGAGTCCCATACAATTTTGCGTTTGTTCTATACAAGAATATCAAACTTCAATAATTAAATATACCTACTATACTTACACCTCTATAATTATATAGTAAACAATAAAATAATAATTGTTATACCCCTTGGACTTTCTGAGGAGTTTTTAAGTTTTCAAAGTGTCTTCTCCTTTTCTGTGGTGGTCCATCATAGTATGACGGTATATTTGATATTGTTATATGATTGAGCTATGTGATAATATCAAAATTAAAATTATTCAATGTAGAATATAATATAGTATTATGATATAACTACACTAAACCATTTGCTATTTGATGTTTTTTTTTTTTTAGTACTAGCTAATAATAATAATAATAATAATAGTACAACTAATACAGCTCAACAATTATGCAAAAGTAGAGTACAGATTAAAATAAATCAAGTATTTGATGTTATTTACTTATAATATAAGTTGGAATCTAAAATGGCATTAACAATTTCTAATGATAAATTACCGTTTGACAAAAATTGTCATATCAAAGAAAAATTGTTTCTACCTAAACGATATAAGATGTTTACATTAATTTAGATTTTTCATTTAAGGTAAGTATATAATAATATCAAATATGAAATAATAATAATTTAATGCAATAATATAGTGGATATACTAGTAGTAATATACAGGATTTATATTATCCGTGTGATACGGTAAAAATATAAAATTATTTTTATATGGACAGTTTACAATTTACAAGTGAAATCAATATTTATATGTGGGTAGTATTAATAACGAAATGATACATGACTTATGATAAAAATAAGAAGATTATCATGTCAAATTTATAAATTCAAAATTTATAATTTGGTACGGATAGACGCTGGGAAGATCAATAAAATTGTCATATACTAAAACAATAATATTTTACAAAGTAGATATAGGTCTCAAGAACAATACGAACTGAACCGTCGGAGGAAAGAATCTCTTGGTTTTCTTGAAGCCATTTCTTCTCGAAGATCAAAAAACTATTCGACGTCGAGTTAGACATTAGAATCGTGTACCTACTGGTATGCTTTTAACTTATTGGTTGTAATGAATTTTCAGCGAAACCGTGAAGACGACAATAATAGGTGCTTGTACGAAAAACAGTAAGCGTTGATTATGAAGTCGGTAGGTACAAAGTGTTATAATAAACATAACTACATAAGTAATATTGAATACACCATGGTTACGTATATGTAGATTTAATGTAGAACTTAAATACCTGAGTACCTAACCTAATCTAATCTTTTTGTCATGTTTTAGCTTATAATTTTTATTTTAAATATCAAAAACCATAACAACTAGAACACTTTCTTTAAACAATTCACATTCAATTTTATAGTACTTTTCGTCAATTAAAAACCATTGCCATCGGTAATATAACATTTGATTTGTTAATAAAATATAGGAAAAATGTATTTAAGGAATTAAATGTACGTATTATTATTTTTGGCCACTACGTCGTTATTTTCTTTCAACCGTTCTTCCACGGTCCTCACGATAAGCTCGTTGACATGCTTACCAAAATAATGATAAATCGTTCGCTATAAACATTCATTTCGTTTCTATGTTTGATTATTGTTGACTTAACGATGTTTCTGTAAGGATTTTTTTTTCTAATTATTCATAGACCATATTTTGTAGGTACCTATACCGCATTAATAATCTTATTCAACTTCGTGTAAAATCAGCTTCAGGTCTTGAACCTTGATGAATAAAGTGGGAACAAAATTACATATTATGTACATAACCATAATATTTTATTCATATAAAAACATATATTATGTGGATAAATCTTGAACACTTTATTACTCTAAGTGAAAAGCAACTTAAAAACGTTAAAAACGTCATATATAAATGATATCAAATAATGAGCCAAGACGCGTTTCTAATCTTCACGATTTATAATTAATTTCAAATTTAAATTACTGGTGGATCCGCGAGGCCTATCCTATCACTTTCACATTTCCAGCTTTACCATTCGCCAAGTAAATAGGATTGTCAACTGCCGGCGGGTAAGAGTTAGTTAACCAGAGCAGACCACGACTTCTTTACAGCTTACCTATATAATAAAGTTTCTTCTCAAGACGTAGGAAGGCCGTGGCAGGTCATCGGATGCGCGACCAGCTGTTACTGTCGAATATGAAGTGTACTGGCCAATTTTAGGTCTATATAATAAATAATTACCATATACCTGTAGGTTAAGGAAGTAGGAAGGGGAGAATTTTAATTTAGAATAAAATACATCAATCTAACAGTGTTCTTCTTTGTTTAGAAACTTTAATCATGACTTATAGTCACTGTCCAAAATAGCGGAGAACTGTTGATAATTGTGACAATTGATTCTCCATTAAATGTATTACTACTACTAGTAAGTCCTCCCATTTCCATCAGTTTTCCACTTAAATTCCATTTGAGTCCTGTAGTTGTACATATTCGTTGCATGCTGAATTCATTGGAAAAATACCTACATTATTGTTTTCTGGATGCAACCTGAAGGACCGAGGAACTTGAATACAGTGTGTAACAGCCTGAAGTAACCAGGTCAATGAATTTCTTCCATATATGTCTTACCTAACCTAACCTCTATATATCTTCGTCAAAGTGTTTAAATTTGACAAGACATTATCGATCCTATGGCTCATGTTTACCATGACAATAATAGTATCTATTGGTTTACAATTCTTTGTTAAGTATTTTTAAATCTCAATAAGAGCTTTGGTGAAGTCGTTTTCATCCTGGTTGGGTGTGGGAATTATTTTTGAACCCATCGACACAAACTGCTCGACGATAGCGGGATTGGCCGAATCTAAATCACCGGTAACAAGTTCTAGGAATTTTAAGTCATTAAATGAATTTTGTCTAATAGAACTGTGCCAATGGTTCGTCCAACCATCCACCGTCGCCCGAAACCAGGATTCGTTCCATAGACGGCGCACCACCTTCGACGAAATTTCAATTCTGGTGTTCAGGAAGACCACGGCCGTGTCCGTCAGTCTCAAGTTTTCCAGCGCCGTCCACCAGTCTCGGGCTTTAGGGGGATGAGGATCGGACTTCACAACCAACGGATCTAAAAAATATCTCGTCCATCTACGCGCACTAAGAATTTTTCACTATGTATTAAGTACCCATGCAATTATCAAAAAATATATGTTCAAAAAATTAATAATTAAAGTTTTGAAACCATATAAAGATCATAAATAATACAGTAATATAGCTATAATCTATTTTTCCCTATAAAGAGAAACCAGAATGAAGGAGTGATGTTACAACACATATCAATACTAGTTTTTATGTTTCCAGCTATCTTGAAAATAACATGGTAAAACTCTCGTTTATAATCAATAATATGCCAATAATTGTAATTCGTATATATAGGTCACCTTCAATTGATAATAAAAGTCTTACTAACTCATGAAAAGAAGCCTTTACTGGTTCAAATTTTGATACATATTTAATTATTATAACTGAATACATGAATACAGACATAATTGGTACACATACAAATAATATAATGACTATCAAGATTTCTTATCGGCTAACGGGTTTTCTTCTTTTATAAATGTCTTGGCGAGATTACCAATGGGTCAACAACACTCGTGCTTAGATCGAGTTTTCATTACAATACTTTCAATAAAATACTTAAATGCTGGTGATTTATTAACTGATATCACTGATCACTGCTCAGTCGTTGTGTTCATACCAATTTTGTACGATTAATTAATTCTGAAAATATAGTCAATGTTATAAATCATGTTAAAATTAAGTCTTTACTGAGTAAAGAAAAATGGATAAAATTATATGAATTTAGTTCGGTAAATAAATGTATTTCTGTTTCAAAATATTATTATAAGCGCCCTAAGTGCTTCTTCTACTTCTAAAACTATTAACTCAAAAAATATAAGGTTAAAAGAATGGATGTGTCAAGGGCTTGTATGTTCTGCACGTCATCAACAATTTAATTCTCTGAAATGAAAAAATCATCAAAATAATACTAAACTTGCAACTTACTATAAAAAGTATAAGAATAATTTTACGAAATAATTATTAAGGCTTACCAAAATCAAATTTTATGAAAAAAAAATTTAGGCAGTGTCCTATAATCTTTTCAGTTAACCTGGAAATTAATCAATGAACTATGACAGGTACTATCTACAAAAATGAAGATAAAATCGAAGTATTAAAAGTTAATGACAGTACATTACACACATCAGATCCATTAGGGGCGTCAAATATATTAAATAATTATTTCATAAACGTCGATAAAATTCAGGCTGATAAATTCTCGAGAAACATAACCAATAATTTAAAAGTAAATAAAAAATTTGATTTGCAATATTTCGATGAATTTTTCTTAAAAAAAGTTTATGTAAAAGTTGATCTATATTAATTATAAACAACTGTAGAGATGACATTGCTGCGGGATATGATATGCTAACGGTTAAAATATTAAAAAATTTTAAGAAAAAAAATGCAATATGTATGAATATTAACGCTTAATCAATAGCATTTATTTATTTATATGTATATTATACGTTTTTAACCAGTACACATTAAACATTAACAATTTGTAAGTGAATAAACAGGCTGGATATCAATTATAAATTATAATTTGGTATGTGTGCACAAATCATATTTTTAAAAACATTTTTTTTTTAACCTTTAAAATCTAACTAGAAAAACCTAACCTAACCTAACCTAACCTAACTAAAAGCCTTCAAAAAATTAGCTCGTAATTTAATTACAATATAATAATAATTCAGTAAAGCCGCTACAAAAATGTTGAGGCCATTAGTTAACTAGTAATTGATTCGTTATTTTAGGAAATTAACAACTCATAATTTTTTTAAGAATTAAAAAAGTCTTGGAACTTACTTGTTACCTATTTTAATTGAAGTGCATGTAGAGTAATTTACTATATGTTATCAATTATATATTAATATGCACGTTTCACCAGCTAGGAATGGTATTTTTACGAATTTTAATGTTTTTAATTTAAATTAAAATAATGTAAGGTTTAATATATTTTTATAACAGCAGCAAAAAAAAAAAATATTTAGAATATTTAAGCTTTTAATTTAATTATAAATAAATAATGATTTGAAGGCATCATCAAATAAAAATGTTTAAGATTTTTAAATCTTTTAATCTAACTTTTAATTACTGATTATGAATAAATATATACATATTTTTTTTTCCTATTACTTACCTTGTCCATTTTTACCATGTGAGTGTAGAGGTCTAACAGCCTACTCGAATATCCCATTTCGTTATCATACCATGCGCCTATTGTCACAAATTTGTCACCGATGACCGACACTTGGTTAAAATCAACTATGGCTGAATATTGACTACCTACGAAATCGGAGCTTACGAGATTTTCTGTATCTTCGATGTAGGATACAACGCTATTTTCAACTGTAGCTGCATTTTTCCAAATTGCACACTTGATATTCTCTAGTGTCGCCGGATTTTTAACACTGTTAATATAAAATTTTTTAAATAAACAACAAAATTTACACCTAACCGTCCTAACCCTCAGTAAGCCGTTAAGAATTTATTTATTTCAATAATTTGCGATGCACTATGGCAATTACAATAGTTACATAAGTATGCAGAAAATGCTTAACTCTTTTTTATTTTTATTTTTATTTTATACCGCGATATTTTCAAGGGACCGGTAGTTTTATTCGTTATATCGAGATTTTCGTTATATCGAATTTCGTTAAATCGCGAGTTGGCTGTATAAAAATATATATTTTATATAGAAATACGTTACATTATGTAGAGTTTTAGCAGTGACACGTCCAGCGTAGGCACTCTTATAGAATCGCCGGTTACTTTTCCTTTTAATTCTGGAATGACAATGCCCACGGCTTTCGCAGCGCCTGTCGTGCTGTGTACGATATTTCCGGGGGCTGACCTCTGAAAAACGAAATCATAACCATGACCAATAAACCATGGTCGGTAGCGGTGCAGGGCGTTTATCATTTTTACTAAACGTGTGTAATACATTTTTGTTTTGTATAATTCAAGCGTGACGACAAAACGGGCTTTAAATACGAAATATATAGGTACACCACTACATTCGAATATTATAAAAACCCACAAAAATACATATGATAAGTGATAACTTATCGTCTCCTGAAAAAATGGCTTCTTACTTGATTCACTCCGTCCAGGATCTGCTGAGAGGAGGTCATTGCGTGAACCGTCGTCAGTAGACAGTATTCCACTCCAAATTGATTGTTGATGATGTGCATCAAAGGCGCAGCGCAATTGGTTGTGCACGAGGCGTTCGACACCACAGTCATTTTATTCTTATACTTGTCGAAGTTCACGCCCTTTACAAACATCGGGGCGTCTTTGCTCGGAGCACTGATGATAACTTTTTTGACACCCGTCGCCATGTGTTTCTAATAAAGTTTAGTTATATCGTCACTACATTACATTCAAGTCATAATCTATTGAGAAAGCTCGGTTATAAATCATATATTATTATTATTAATATTATTGTGATACGTACCCTTTAGCAGGCAACAACTACAAAAACAATACAATATTTTTTTAATGGAAGGTATAAGAAATAGCACTTACCTTGGCAGCTTTGACTTCTGTGAATCTTCCGGTCGACTCTATCACATAATCAACAGGCAACTCTTTCCATTTGATGTTTTCTGGGTTCTCTTCCTTATATACATGAACGATTTTGCCTGTAGCGGCCATCATTATCAAAAAAACATATCGGAAACCATAATATCCACATTTGATTTATAATCGAGACAATATTTTACAATGTTACTGTTAAAATGTATTATGCTTAACAAATTAAGTTCAATTTCGATTTATAGCAAAATCATACAAAGATTTTGCTCGATACAATTATATCACAATATATTTATAGTAAAAATATAGTAAAAACTATCAACGTTGATTATTTTTTATACTTCATTTTCAAATTTAAAAATACTCAGCTTTGAATGAACGCAGAACAGAACGTGGAAAGTAGAAATCTCGAACGCAATACCTACAGTTTTTGTAATTTAGAAATTTCGAAAAATAAGAAAGTTTAAACTGGGATTTCTTCCCTGAATTCAAGATAACTGCAGTTACGGCTGACATATATTATAGTTCTGTCCGGAAAGTTTTGTTTTATAAATGTGGCTTTCACGAACGTACCTTACAATATGATTTCTAGAGTGAATACACAAATCTTATCCTTATAATTATTATTATTGTTGTTATTACCGTTGATGTTCAGACAGTCTCCCTTTACGCTGACGACTCCAGGAAACATTCCATGCATAGAGTCATATTTGAACGAGTGGGCAATCGCCTCTGCGTTGGCACTCGGCTCATTGATGGCGACCACCTGCGGGCGACGAGGGATTAGGATTTATAAAAATGTACGAAGAACAAACGTTCGACGGCTAGACGAATACAAGTTGAAAGACCTCCGCCGACATATGGTATCGCTTACATTCACGTTTTTTTGAATGGCCAACCGGAGCACGCATTTACCTATCCGGCCGAAACCGTTAATAGCGACAGGCGGAAGACTGGTGCACTGTTCTTTGATGGGGGCTCCCGGTAACTTAATACCCGAATCGTTGACTTTGTCCACCGGCAGTTGACGAAGAAGCTATGGAAGAGGATTTTAATCAGTTTACGAAGAACAGACGTTGGCCAGCCAGCCGAATATAGGTCGACCGACGTGGTATGACTTACGTTGGTACGGCTAGCAAACAGTCGCACGCATTTGCCTTTCCGGGAAAATGTGCTATGTGTCACCGATGACAAGTTTTCAAGTGTTGTTTTCACACTACTCAATTCTGAGGAGATCAGTTGCAAACCGTTTCTAATCATAGCAATCGTATAAAGAAAACTTTAAATATTTCGAAAAACTTCAAATATTTTTTGCTTTGACGACAGCTATTTATGAGCGAAACGAAAATAATAAATATGTTTTATATAGGTAGCTTCACGACTGAATTCGTAAATATACTAATATCATCGGTATATTGTTTACTTGTTATTTATTAAGCCATATAATTTGTTTACAGTATCTTTAATGATGCCCACTATTATATAACTACAAATAACGGCGCGGAATGCCGTCCGAAGGCCACCACATGCTGATGTACCAAAATTGCCTATACAACGCGCCAAGACAGCGCATACAAAATAAAATAAACAAAATTTGTTAATTTAATAATTTAACTATACAAACGGGAATTTTTGGTAGACATCCCCTCTGTACATATGGCACCGTATACCATTCCTTTATCTATGGTTTTACTTGTACCGTATCTACAATAAACACGTTATTACAATTGATATCTGTAAACTGTGATTATATAAATTTACGTTTAATCATTGCATTCATATTAATGCAACGACTCAACACTGCCACTGATAAAACTGAAATTAAAACTAATTGGGACCAGCACAAGCCTAGGGGAAAAGTTGCAATGGATATGAAATCTAATGATAACTTAAAATTGGCTTTAGACAATGGAGACTTACATTTAGAACAATAAGTTTTGATCTTCAAGCCATATTGAGCCTGCCTTTTGCTGGAGATAATCAATAGTATTACAGAAGGAAGTTAAATATTTATAACTTTACAATTTTCGATTCTTTTGAAAATACTGACTACTGCTATGTTTGGGATGAGTATAATGGAAAGAAGAGTAGTGCAGAAGTAGGATCATGTTTGATTAAATATTAAACACAGTTAAAAGAATCGTGTCACGTGTTACAACATATTCTGACACATGTGGGAGCCAAAACCGAAATAAAAACATTGTTGCAAACATTATTAAATCATCTACAAAATTAGGAAACAATTGATGTCAAGTACATGGAGCTGGGCATTCTTGCCTTAAAGCTGACTTCATGCATGCTACAATTGAAAGATCTAGGAAACATAAAAAAATTATGTATCACAAGAATGGGCAATAATAAAATTCTCAACAGCCAGAATTAAACCAAGTCCATATAAAGTGACAAATATCCATTAAGATGAATTTTATGACTGAGAAAAGTTAGTTAAAGATATGCTAAAAAAAAACAACAATGAACACTGAAAATGATAAAGTGAACTGGCTGAAAACAAAATGGATCAGATTCCAAAAGATTGAACCTTACATATACAATATAAATATGACCTAGATACAACAAAGTTAAAAAAATTGGACACATTCAAACAAAGAAGCAGGGGTAGAAAAAAACAATGGGATACTATTATTTTAAGTTCTAAATATGCAGAAAAAATACCAATAAGCAAAGCAAAAAAGACATAGAATATCATTCCTAATGATTATAAATATTTCTATGATGAGTTACCAACCACCAAACAATGTCAACCACAAGTTTTCTCAGATAATGAGGATACTGACTGACTGACTGAAGTTCCTACTATCTATTTTATTATTAAATTATATTATTATATTTTGATAAGTTAACAAGAAATTACCGCTATCATAAAATAAGTTGGGTATTTTTATATTTTTTTAAATATACCTATTTAAAAATTAAAAATGTTGAGTTTTATTTTGTTTTCAATTACATTATTACTATTATTATTTTACTAAATAATAATAATAATATTATTAAAGAAAAATGACTATTTTATATTATAGTTTTTATTTGAACAAGTTTCATTTCATTGTAAAATATACAGAATAAAAAAAGTTGTGATGGTTTTTTTTATGATTTTTATATATTTTTTTAAAAATGTTCAATTTAATTTGGTGTACAAAATAAATCAGTTATAATAATTATAACATTATTCAAGTAATTGTTGTTCTTTATTGAAATTAGAAGCAAAATGTGATGTATTTAAGCATTAGTTTTTATGTGTACAAATGTGTTAAGTATATCTTTTTTTTTAAAGATTAGTCTATTATAGTAGAACAATTATTTTTAATCTTCATTACTTATAATAAGTTAAGGAAAATATAACACAAAATGTTCATCATAGTTAGGTAGTTCCATTTTTGAATTATTATAACAGTAAAACATTAAAATCATTCTCCTGAGTAATTACGAAAATGTCACAACATGCGTGCACTATGCCATTGATATTTAAGTTACCTATTTACATATCTCACACTTAAATTCTGTCAAGTTTTCCAACCCTCTACACATTTAAAGTGCCTATCTCTTATACTCTATGCAGCTCATATACACTCATGTTCCCCCCTGAGCATCATTTTTAAACGGCGTATCGCAATACAAACATACCTCGTCTGCTGAATCTTCGTTATCTGTCATAACATACTGAGGTTCTTAGTTGTTAGTTGAGGAAGATTCTTTAACAAATAATTTCTTTTTAACTGATTTACCATTTCTTTTTTTTATACATTTTTCTTTTCCATTCTCTTGCGTTTTCTTTCTTCCTTTTCTTTGACTAGATCATTTTTTACTAGTAATTTTTGTTCAAGATACGTTTTAACAGGAGTAAATGTTAATACAATTGACATTTTAGCTTTTGGTTTCCTTGTAATTTTCCTATTGGTTTTTGAGAGTTCTGGAAGTATATTATTATTTGTTGTAGGAGGCAAAGTCACATGATTTACTTTAAAGCTGTCTGAAGTACTAGGACCAGGTTGGCAGATGACAGCATAATCTACTGTGCTTTGTTTAAGACTTGAAACATTTTCAATTACTAGTGGTCTATCAGTAGTGGCAGACGCAGCAAAATCATGTTCTTGGAAACTAGTGGATCGAAAGGTTCAATTCTACAAGATTTGAAGCCACTAATTGCATTTTGCAAATTTGCACCTTTAAAATAGGCTTATTCATATAGTGATAGTATAATATATCATATTATGAGCTTCCAAAATTACTGGGCCAGGATGATTCATCATACAATTTTCACACATTTGAATAGGTATAAAAAGTTTTTATTGGTCCATAAATATGTCTAATGGTTGTAGTCAATGGGTAAAGTGGGATAGAAACCCCAACATAGTTATAATGTGTTCTCTACAAAAAGTTATAGCTTCTTAAGAACAGTGTGAGGCATGGTTGTCTAAAATAATAAGTATTAAATAATTTTCACTGTGTTTTGCATACTTAAAAAAATTATTCAAAAAATGAAGAAAATTTTAATTTGTCATCCAACCACGTTCATGCTTTTACAAGAAAAAATTAAAAATGGTGGTCACTAATTTGTCCACTTGCTTTCTTCCTGTAGGAGAGATTACTTTAGATTGCTTTGTTGGGACTGTAGAAAATCCAGACTCATCAACATTATAAATTTTATGCGCCTGATAGTTATGTTGTGAGCGAATTTCTTTCAACATTTGTTTTGTTGAAGCACATCAGTCGCCCAACTGGAGTGGCCTCGGGAGTTCTAAAACTTAATTTGTTGATGCTCATAAACTTGGAAAGCCAATCTTCTCCAGCCATTTTTGTAACATTATTAAAACAATGTGGAATGCCACTCTTTTCTGCATAATCATACACAATTTTTTGATACTGTACTTTAGTCAATCCAAATGCTCGAATTTCAATATCCCCTATGTTTTCAACTGCTTTAATTGTTCATTTGCAAATACTACTTTCAATCTACCACCATTAACAGGTAAATCCTACATAGTAATAATAGAAAATAAATAATTACACAAAATAAAAAATAAATGTTGATAGGTGAGACGAATAATAATATATCATAATAATATTCTATTCTATTCTCATGCATACAACGTTTCAATATAAATATTAGTGTGTATGATAGAACAAGTTAAAATTGAATAAAATTAGGTTTGTTTATCTTCTATTATAATTCAAATTATTTTCATTATAAAATTGATTAAAAACTGATGAATAATTAAAATAGTTATATTGGTACTTATTACTTCTATTAATAATATACATGCTCACATCTTGTATTTTTTTTTAAATTTGTCGGCGCTAAGTTGGCCAGGTATATTCATGTTTATCATTACTTGCACAGTTGCACATGACTTTTTCTCGTTGACACAAAGATCTAATACATTTCCCATATTTGTTTAACCTCTATTGGTCTTCCTCTTATAATTTCAAACCATAATTTCCTACAAGAAATGTTAGATGAACTACTACACTTTACAATTTTTAATAATCTCAAATACAAACCTTTAGACAAGAGAATAAGATATAGGGGCAAGTTGACTAGTTTGTTAACTTGCCCCAGAGTGTACTTACTATTTTTGTGAAGATTGTTATTTCCATCTATAGTAAAATTAAATTGCACACACAACCAGTCAGTGGCGTGTTGACCGTGATTTTGAAGGGCAGGTGCCCGATAGTTTTGGGTGGGTGGGTGGTGAGTACTGGATTTAGTGAGAAATATTGTTGTACAAAACTAACTACATTTGAATATGACATAAGAATAAGAATAAGAATTAATAACATCAT